AAATAAAATATAAAAAAGGGCTGGGTTGTGACTCAGTGACTAAGCACCCCTGGGTTCAATCTTTGGTACAAAAAAAAAAAAAAAAAAACAAAAACAGCAGCAGCAGAAGCTTATCTTCTAGGAGAGATAAATTACATTCATAATTAAATACCATAATATAACACACGATTCCATGGCAAAGTAACAGACCAAATTTTGGAGAAAGTTTTAAGAAGCAAGGGGGACTGGCACAGAATCCTGATTTAAAGATGGGGGTAGGATGAGTATATTCTACATGGGAAGCAACACAAGCAAAAGCCTGGAGATAGGAATAAGCAAGATATATTCAGGATACGAGCCTAGAAGGAATAAGATAGAAGAGAAATGTGAGAATAAAGGATCAGTAATAAAGTTCTAAATGTAAGTTGGTACCATATACTGAAGATCATTTATACCAAGTTAAGAATATATCTTCTGCTTAAAAGAAAGGGAAAGGGCTGTGGACATAGTTCAATGGTAGAGCACTTGCTTAGCACGTAGGAGGCCTTGGGTTTGATTCCCCAGCCCTGAAAAAAAGGGAAAGCTATTGATTATTTTTTATTTCAGTAGGATAGTAACCCAATGAAAATAACATTTTAGTAGAATTAGCCCGGCTGAAGAATTCTGAATAAACTAATGGGGAAGAGGAACAACAAATCAGAAATAGCAATCAGTTAAAAGAGTTACTGTTTAAGAGCCTAGGCTTTAAAAGTCTGGTAGACAGAACCACTTTGCTATCTGCTAGCTATAAGCCATTAATTAGTTACCAAACTTATCTAAATCTCAGTTTCCTTGTTGGAAAGTGGGATAATAGTACCTATTTTATAAAGTTTTTGTGGGCTGAAAGTAATAGTATATATGAAAACATAACATACTGCTTGGCTATAATAATTATTCAAAAAAAATGTTATCAACTATTACCTTCAATAAAAATTATTTCAAGGGGGCTGGGGTTGTAGCTCATTGGGAGAGCACCTGCCTAGCACATGAGAGGCACTGGGTTCAATCCTCAGCACCACATAAGAATAAATAAAATAAAGGTATTGTGTCCATTTACAACTAAAAAGAACTTTTCATTAAAAAAATAATTTCAATATGAGGTGATAAGTACAAGTGCAAAAGAAAGTAAGAGGAAAAAATGACTTGGAGCAACATTTCCATAGGCTCATGAGATATTATAAATAGGAAAGACACAAAACAAAATGGATAAAGCCCCTCAGTTTTAATTTAACACAGTAAATATAAATAGATATAACCCACTAAAACATAAGTTCTTTGGTGTACTCAATTTTTAGGAGTCATAAAGGGACAGTGAGAACAAAAAACAATGAGAACCACTTCTCTAGACTATGTTTTGCCAAACAAATAAAAAATTTAATTTTCTAATTTTCTAATGAGATGTTGCCACACTGACGAAATTTATCTTGATGAGAACCAAAAAGTCTACAATTCTAAAGAATGTATCTGTTACTTTCAAAAAAGGAACATTACATTTTCCTTCACATCAGAACAATAACATCTAATCTAAGATGCTGAGCTAAAAGTCCACTATCTATAAGTTTTGTGCATGAGTTACATTAGTCAAGTTAACCTTCCAATAGTTTCTGAACCAAAAGTGGGACTCTGAGAGGTCTATCCTGCAATTGCTTTGCTACAGAATAATCCCAATTCCCAAATTCACAGAAAGATTAACCAAGATGCTCATTCTTGGCAATTCTCAGGACCACAATCTTAACATTTCTAAAATAAAAAAGTTTTATGTTTCAGTAATTTCAATAGCTGACAGAAAACACAGAAACATTAAGCTCCCATTTGAACTCAATTCTTACATGGTCAGTAACTTATTAGAAACCTTCAGGATGCAAGGTAATGATAGTTATTGAAAGATAGGCTGGAGGGAAACACCTTTGAAAAATATTTTTGAGGCCACTAGAAGCAATTAACAGAAGAATTTTGCATTTATGGTTCTGTCTAAAACTAAGATGAAAAACATACAAAAAATTGGCCCTATTAATAATTAAGGGCCCTAAGTAAACAAATGTCTAACTCAAAAGTTATTTAACTAACCCTAGGCTATTGCAATAGCCGAGGAATGAGATGACCAAGGACCTTAAGTAGAAAATACCTAAAGGCTAGAAAAAAAAATCTTTGGTTATTTATTAATTCAACATATATTGATTAAATGGTCTACTACCTGCAAGACCCTGAGCAAGTTAAGAAGCTTCCAACCAGATGGGAAGACAATTCCACAGGGACAAGTACAAATAAATAAACACAGTAGCTACTCTCAGCAGAATGGAAGAAATTCCATCTGAGAAGTGCTATAAGAGGGAGAAAAAAGGAAGGAAATAAGACTTCTAATAGGGATCAGAGAACATATATCCTGGCAAAGAAGGTATGTGATCTAGGTTCTAAATTCATATATATAATCTCAACAAGTGAACACTGGGAGTGAAAAGGATCCCAGGAAAAGGATAACAGCATACAATCAAGGAACAGCAAATAAAAAATAGCTCTACATAAGTTATGATGAACTCTAGAAGAATGGACTAGAAAATTAGAAGTAAAAATAGAGGGACTCTGATGACAGAGTAAGCTATTTGGCACATTTTTGTTTTAAGTAGGCAAAAGGAAGCTACTGGAAGTTTTTTAAACCCACTAGAAGATTTATCATTGGAAGGTAAATCATCAGATAATATTTTTAACATTACTGTAGACTAGAGAGAATAAAATCCGGAAAACATTTAGTGTATTATCATGCCAGTCCATGCAGGGAATAATATGAGTTTCATACAGAGTAGGAGCTAAGAAAAAGACAGATACAAAACATGCTGCAACCACTTCACTGATGATTTACTTATAGTTTTAAATGTTTCAAAGCTTAATTAATCATACAAGGTTAATATGCACATTATTTCTGTTAAAAAATTCATTTCACTGGCAATGTCTCAATATACTCGAGTATGGTTCCTTTTTTAAAAAGCTAATAGTAATAACTAACCATATTCTATATTAAGGATGCAAAATGAATAATAAAAAGCASCACGTACATATTTTCAGCATTCTGAATAGAATTTCAGTATGCACAATTTCATTCAAGAATGAAAATTTTAAACACAAAAGTTTATTTCCATGGAAAATAAAGTTCGGATCAGAATTTTCTATAATCTTATAAGACCACATCTTTACACAGTTATAAGAGTCAACTTTTCTTAAAAATTATTTTTGGAAAAATTCAACTCAACTTGGCCATTATTTTTCTAGTAGGCCAATATTTTTCAACCATTAATGCCTTCATTTTCTCTCCTCCTCCCTACTAACCTCCCCGCCCAACAAATTCCCTTTGTATGTCTCCAAGGCAAGACACTATGTGATACAGTACAATTCTAAGGCAGAATATATAATTCTTATAATAACAGAAATCTAAAATTATTAACCTTACTTTTTACAAGAAAGGTTTCAGTAATGCACTAAAATTCTTAGCAAATGAATGACAAATGTATCTAATAGAAGTGAAGCTTTACCATTAGGGGGAAACAAAGGGGAAAACACACACAATAGATGGGTTGCAAATCTTACAAACTTTACAAAACACCAAAAAGCAGCATCTGGATTACAGTCACAATTATAAAAGCAAATAAAGAAGGTTCTAAAACAATAGAAAAGAAAAAAATTTCTGAGTGATGAATAAGAGTGAAAAAGGTTTATTCAATATTAGTATTAGTTTTTAATATAGCATCATTTAACATCATTACTAATTGAAAAAAAAGATAATTTACTGTTCAAAAGAACACAGAAATAATTTCCACATACCTCCTATAAGGCATTCACACTTCATTACACTTGCATGGGCTTAAATCCTTTCAAAGATCTCCAAAAATACATAATCTTATAATAAACCAGGCTCCCAATGACACACAATTTATCCTGTAGGCTTAGTTACAACATTTTAAAAAGATACAATGAATTCATCCTCAACAAAAACAGGGAGTCATAAAGGCAGTTTACTTATTCAAAATCATTACATAAAGCACTGTCTGTAATTGCAAACAAGGTTTCAAAATCTGACAGCTAATAATCATAAAGTCAGAATTCAAAGGGAAAAAAAAAACTTTGTTTCATTTTTCCCTCCTTTTTCTTCCCTACCAGATACACAGACTGTCTGAAAAGGCCTTGGATAAAGCTCTAAAATAAAGACCCTGTATGGTATATGTTACAATGTGTATAGGAACCTATCACATATATGTACAAATCATATATTCACAAGAAAGAGAAAGGTTATAATTTTTACCCTGAAAGTTGAAGTTATATTAAACTCTATCCCATAAATTAAGTCAACATAAATTAAAGAATAATAAAAAGATTGCATGTAGATCTGTCTGAGTTACTATATTCTAGGAAGGAAAAACCTCAGACTAAGGCCATGACTGAACAAGAACGCCCAATCCCTGAAAATCACTAACCGGCATTTGGCTTCTATGAGAGGAAAAAGGGAGTCTTACAATGAATATCACGTAGGCAACTCAGTTTCTGAAGTTAACCAAGGTAAAACACAACGAACCAAATCAGACTAATGTATGAGATGATAAGCTTTAAGAAATTCTCCCAAAGGGAAAAATTGACTTCAAGAGTGGAATATAAAACATCATTTGCAGGTAAGAGTTTTAATTGAAAGGAAAAAAAAAAAAAGTGGAGGGCTGACAAAAACCTGAACGACCCTCAACGGCAAAAATAGAAAGTAGTCTTTCCTCCCACCCCCACTCTATCCCCCACCCCCACCTTCGCAGGACAATAGGATCAGGGTCCTAACCGCAAACTTTAAATGTGTAAACCAGAAGCAGTTTTATAGCAGCTCTAACTGCAAATCTGCCCTTCATCCCGAACCTAGCGCACCCCAGAATACTTCTGCCCTGAAAACATTACCAAGGTCTTGTTAAACACAAATCAGACCCATCCCAAGATGCTTCCCCCCCCCCAAGTACCTGGAGGATCCATTTCAATATAAAATATCAGTTCTGTCGAATAGGGCATCATCACCTCCCTCCAGTCTGCGTCATCGCGGTCCATACTCCACACCGTATTGTACATCGCGCTGTCAGGGGTAGGTCGTCAGGAAATGTATAGAAAGCATATATACTTTTTGGTCTGATATTTAAAAATCTAAAAATACATATCTACAAAAGTTCCGCACGGAAATGTACTTYGGGGTTTCCAATGGCTGGTAAAAGTCCAGCCAACTACCAGGACGAGGACAGACAGGGTCCTCCTCGTCTCTCCCACAGCACCCAGAAAAATGCCTCCCTGAACTTTCAAGCTATGGGCTTTTCTCCTCAAAAGTGCTACAGAGAGGCTTGTGTGGAGGAGGGTAGAGGTGTTAAAAAGCGGCTTCCCAAAAATCCTTTCTATACAATCGCTCTCCAAAGAGAAAAGCTCCCGCTGCCTCCAAATCTTTCCGCGGAAGACACTTTTGTGTCCTCTGAAGGAAGAATTAAAAGGGGGAAAAAAACGCGGTGCGAGAAAGCTGGGGAATGACAAAGAAAGGCATCAAAAAAAAAAAAAAAGAAAAAATTTAAAAAGGGACTGGGAATTGCGTTCAAGTTTCGGGGTCCCAGTGGTCTGCAGAGAGCGATACCCTCTAGGGCCAGGATTCGGGTTCCGTTCTCGTGGGGCTCGGAACCGAAGCTGCAGCAGCTTTGGAACGAGGGCCGGTCAGAGAGTCCAGAGAGCTCGGCTCGGCTGGGCGCTCCAGCCGGGGTGTGAGCAAACCCGCCAGTGCCGGCTACCCTGACGCTCGGCCCTGATTCCAGCCACTAGAGTTTCATTTTAACGGCGCGGAGGGGACATCCTCCCCCGCCCCCACACCCCCTGCCGAGGCGCCACCCAATCTCGCGGAATAGGGGGAACAGCCAGTATCACCACTGCCCCTTCCAGTCTATCACGCCTCGGCGTACAAGAACTGTCAAGTGCCTTAGAAAGTGTTGAAGCAGCGGTTCTCCACCTCGGCTTTCAACTCTCCCTGCCGCGCTCTAGGGCTTGGCTCCTCAACCAGCATCCTCTCTCCACCACAGCCTCAATCAAAATGGTACAGTCCGGGCGCTGGCCGCTCGCCAGGAGTCAGTGCCGGGAGCACGCCAGCCCAGCCGGGAGGGTGAGGGAAGGGGGAGGGAAGGGAACAAGGTAAAATGGGCGGTGATTGGCTGATCCCGGTTGCCGGAGCCTGGAGCCTGCGTCTTTTGTCTGCCTTGCTCCGGCAGAGGAGCGGGAGACGACTGCGCGCCCCAAGCGGGCCAATCAGAAGACAGCCGGCGCCGGCCGGCGAAGCAACGATTGGTCAGACTCCAGTTACTAAGCGGGACAAAGGCAGAAGGGGGGAAGAAAAGAAGGGGGGAAAAAAAAAGAAAGAAAGAAAGAAAGCGCAAACGACGGTTACTGACAGGCTGAGCGAGCGCTCGGGAGCTCAAGCTGCCCGGAGACAGGCGGGGCTCCCGCTGAGCCTCGGTTCGCCCGGGCGAGAGGAGGGGGAGGACCGGCTGGCGCGCGACACCTCTGCCCAGAGACTGGCCACTGGGGAGGGGAGCGGAGGTAGAGGGGCTCTTACTGTCATTTGGCGGGGTGTGCGCTTGTCTGGTCCTTCGGAGGTCTCCAGGCAGAGACCTCATCCCCAAGCTGGGACTGCCCTCCCCCCAGTCCCCGTGACAACTTGTCAAATAAAGGAAAGGTCGCCAAACCCACTTGCAAGACCGATCCCTCTCAGCGAGAGGATGTACCCATGGCCCCCTGAAGCTTTCCCTGCCGCTACTTCAACGCAATGTCATTTTGAGTAGTTAAGCATTTCGCAGTTCATCTGCGCGTCCCACCTAAGGACTTTTGAACCCAGAGGTAACTCCCTACACTTGAAAGAAATAGTGGGACGTCTCAGCAAGTCCTCTAGTTTGAGTAATCAAGCCAGGAAAAAAAAAAAATATCTTGGAATTACAGTGCGTATGAGATTTCTGAGATAAATCACAGGTGTTGTAATGTCTTGCCAAAAGGGTTCTATTCTGTTTCCCTGATAGACCCTCTTCCTCACTCACCCAGTCCCTCCCCTAAAGCTGTGAGATCGGCTTCCGTATGAAAATGCTGAATCTTTCCATGCATTTCAGAAACAGCTAATTAACTTGCTGGGGAACACTGAATAGCTAAAAGTAGATTTGTGCCTGGATTGCCATCCTTCTCTGAGGAGGCCAAAAACTGCTCCACTTCCTCTTGTACAGAAGTAACAAAGCCCATTGTATTTGAGTTGACAACCTGATTTAAGCCCTAGCAAAACCTCCTACCCTGAGCTGCTCTGCTATATTGATTCGCCCATAGAAAAGTTGCCAGGTTTCACCCTATACTTCCTAAAGTAATCCTGCTTTCCTTAAAGGCGCCCTGAATTGAGACAGTTCCTGAGAGCAGACAGACAAAATGTGTACATACTGAGTATAGAGTAAAGGGGCAAAAAGATGCTAAGTGTGGATGAACAGGGTTAAACTAAGAAAACACCAGTATTCTTCTTTACATTTCTGAAAAAAAAAAAAAAAAAAAAGGCTATTCAGAAGCCAGATCAACTTTGGGGCAGAGCTCATTAATTTTAATCTCAGAACCATTCCTTCAGGTAGAAGATACTGGAAGGTCAACTGTAATTTGTGGCTGGCTTCCCAGCAGCTTCTATTTCACCATATCTGAGAGCCAGAAGTACTCATATTTGTAACMCTCTACTGTAAACCCAGTGATGCCTGAGGTTGAGGCAGAAGGATCTCAAGTTTGAGGCCATCCTGGAGCTTAGTGAGTCCTTGCCTCAAGTGAAAAAAAAAAAAAAATTGAGGGCTGGGGAACCAGGTGCACTGGCACACACTTATAATCCCAGCAACTGGGGAGGCTGAGACAGGAGTGTCTCAAGTTCAAGGCCATCCTGGGTAACTTAGAGAGACCCTGTCTCAAAAAATAAAAATGACTGAGGATGTAGCTCAGTGTTTGAGCTAAGCCCCTACATTCAATCCCTATTATGGTGGGGGCAGAGAGTAATTCACATTTGATACCTTACAAGCAGAACAATCAGTTAAGGACAAGTTGAGGTTTTTATTTTATTATTTTTTTTTATTTTTTTGATACATTCTCAAACAAAATAAGGGTGAAAAGACTAAGTGTGGAAAAGATAATGAGTTTCAGACTTCCACAGCAGCTTTTGCCTGGACTGTTTTTCATCAATTAGTGGTAAGGTTCCAACTTCTAATACACAGCAATCACCTAGTCCTTTCCCACACCTAACACTTTGGGGGATGGAATGAAGGAATAACACAGTATATAATCAAATGCTCAAGATTGACAATGGAGGGCTGGGGTTGTGGCTCTGTGGTAGAGCACTCACCTAGCACAGGTCCAGGCCCTGGGTTCCATCCTCAGCACCACATAAAAGTAAATGGAATAAAGGTGTTGKGTCCAACTACAACTTAAATATAAATATTTTTTTAAAAAAGATTGGCACATGGAATAAAGCTGTGATTCAATCTTGTCACTTGTCAATATAAAATTGTATAACCCAACTCTCCAATGTAAATAGACTTTTTAATAGGAAACCTCCAAAAAGTAATGATGCATGAAGCCATGATCAATTAAGGGGAAGTACAGTTCCTTCAGAAAAGTTTGAACAGTGCTCTGCCATGGTAGAAACTGCCTGTCAGATGATGCTCACTTTCCTCCGAAATCTCCTCTTTTGTGTGTTTGGGGGCGGGGTGGGTACTGGGGGTTGAATCTAGGGTCTTAGTTTCAGTTGAGAAACAGAAGTAAACTTCTGATTACTTGTCACCAAACTGCCTAAGGCTTTTTGGCAAACACAGAAAAKATTAGCTCCAGTGTTCTGGACCACTTCCATGCTGGAGAATTATATTTGGCCTGGGTGTGGATTAAATTCAGCTCTAAGAGCTCAAACTTCTGGGTCATAACCTGCTACTTTGGGAGTTGCTTTCCCCCCCCCCTCTTTGTCTCTCTCCTTTCTTTTTTCAATTTAGTCTTAGATAAATCACAAAATTTGTCTGCCTTCATTTATATATGTGAAATAGGAGAGTGCCTTCTGATTTATGCAAGCTACTTTATTTTGAACACTCTGAGAATGAAAAAAATTGCCACTTAAGTATTTAGAGTAGTACTTTTCTGTAAGTCCAAATGAATAAGGTGTCCTTCATTTTTCACCCCAGTCTGGTTTTGTTATGAAACTGTTCAAATATGCTCCATTTCCCCCTCTTTATTTCAGAGATGGATGAAATATTTCTTCTGTGTTCTGAATATAGGATATGATCTCAGAGTTCTCTTTGCCAGCAAAATCAGCTTGGAACTCAGCCAGAAGTTCTTCGTGATTAAAGGTGCCATCTGAGCACACAATATTTTTTTTAAAGCCTTGCAAAATAAAAATGTACTTTCCCCCCACTGAGGTCCCTAGTTTTAATACCAGATCTGACTTTAACCCTTAGGAAGAAATTCCCCCACCTCTTGTTTTTTCCTTCTCTCATCATCTTCTCTTGACCACTTATCTTGTGTAAGGTCCAAACCTATACAGCCAAATAAACTAAATAAGTGGGACTTCAGAAAACACTACAAATTATCAGTTGCTAATTTCAAGTACTCCCCGGCCATGTTCCCTGTGAATCATGGATATAACAAGTTTTGATGGAAAAGTCTGCCTTTATCGTGTAAAAAGAGCAAAGTTAGTGGGTCTTCTGGAAAGACATTTCACCTGGGAATTGATATTAACCTCTTGAGACAGAAGTATCAAAATCATGATTTTCTATTTTTCTGAACAACAATCCTTTTATTTGGCATTGTCATTTCTTATCTCTCCTCATTTTTCTCATTTTTCCTCTTCTTATTCTTTTTTTTTTTTTTTTTTTTTTTTGGTATCAGAAATTGGTACCAGGAATGCTTAACCACTGAGCCACACACACACACACACACACACACACACACACACACACTTTTTTTTTTTTTGAGACAGGGTCTCACTAAATTGCTTAGGGCCTCGCTGAGTTGCTGAGGCTGCCTTTGAAATTGCAGTCCTCCTGCCTTAGCCTCCCAGGCCACTGGGATTACAGGCATGCCCAGCTTTTGTTTTGTTTGTAGTGTTGCTGGGGATCAAACAACCCAGGGCTTCCACTTGCTGGGCAAGCTCTCTGCCTTTTACCTATATCCCAATCCTCTTCTTTTCTAACACTTCATTATTCATGATAGAATTAATCATATCAGCCCAAATCACTGGGAAATAATGACAATAGATGAGTGGGTAGACTTCATAAAAGTGGCATTCCTTCAGATCCTGCTAAATTCCTTGGCTTAGGGACAATTTCTGAGGGCTTCCTTAGATCCATCAGCACATGATGTAGAATTGTCCTGCCTCAGTCTCCCCACTTTGTGTTCTTCTTCAGCTTTAGGGTGTCACAGAGCAGATCTTTCTCTCTAGCCTGTCTGCCCTTCCAACAACACAGGGGCCACCTGGTTGACCTGTGTGTCACTGCTTCAAACTTCCCCTCTGACAAGGCAACAGATTTCAGCTTGGCTCTCACCAGGAGAGCAAATAAGATCCAAATGACAGGAACAATAGTCCAGGCTGTTTCAGGTGGGCAGGGCACAAACAGGGCAGACAGCTGGTGAGCTCTGTTAGCTCTTTTAATCTCCATAACCCTGAGAAGGAAGAGGGTTGCATTTTTATTCTCATTTTACAGAGGAGGAAATTGAGACTCAGAGTAGTGAGAGGAATTGTTCAAAGTCATGCAGCCAC